ATGACCGCCAGCTTCTCCTCCTGTGCGCCCGACTCTGCTTTCAACTTCTACGCCACGTCGTCTACCGCATTCACGTCTACAACTACAACCACGACCGAAGAATCGTCTATCACAACTGGAGATTCAACTCCAACAACGAGAGAGCCATCTACAACTACAATGAAAGAAACATTTACAACTACAACCACAGAAGTCCCATTATCAACTATAACAATGAGAGGACCATCTACAACTACAACGAGAGAACTATCTACAACTACAATAACGAACGAACCATCTAAAACTACAACAACGAACGAACCATCTACAACTACAACCACTGAAGAACCAGCTACAACTACAACGAGAAAGCCATCTACAACTACAACAAAGAAAGAACCATCTACAACTACAACGAGAGAACCATCTACAACTACAACAACGAAAGAACCATCTACAACTACAACGAAAGAACCATCTACAACAACGAGAGAACCATCTACAACTACAACAACGAAAGAACCATCTACAACTACAACGAAAGAACCATCTACAACTACAACAACGAAAGAACCATCTACAACTACAACAACGAAAGAATCATCTACAACTACAACGAAAGAACCATCTACAACTACAACAACGAAAGAACCATCTACAACTACAACAACGAACGAACCATCTACAACTACAACGAAAGAACCATCTACAACAACGAGAGAACCATCTACAACTACAACAACAGAAGAGCCATCTACAACTACAACGAAAGAACCATCTACAACAACGAGAGAACCATCTACAACTACAACAACAGAAGAGCCATCTACAACTACAACAACGAAAGAACCATCTACAACTACAACAACGAAAGAACTATCTACAACTACAACGAAAGAACCATCTACAACTACATCAACGGAAGAACCATCTACAACTACAACGAAAGAACCATCTACAACTACAACAACGAAAGAACCATCTACAACTACAACAACGAAAGAACCATCTACAACTACAACAACGAAAGAACCATCTACAACTACAACAACGAAAGAACCATCTACAACTACAACAACGAAAGAACCATCTACAACTACAACGAAAGAACCATCTACAACTACAACAACGAAAGAACCATCTACAACTACAACAACGAAAGAACCATCTACAACTACAACAACGAACGAACCATCTACAACTACAACGAAAGAACCATCTACAACTACAACAACGAGAGAACCATCTACAACTACAACAACAGAAGAGCCATCTACAACTACAACAACGAAAGAACCATCTACAACTACAACAACGAAAGAACTATCTACGACTACAACGAAAGAACCATCTACATCTACAACAACGAGAGAACCATCTACAACTACAACAACGAAAGGACCATCTACAACTACAACAACGAAAGAACCATCTACAACTACAACAACGAAAGAACTATCTACAACTACAACGAAAGAACCATCTACAACTACAACAACGAGAGAACCATCTACATCTACAACAACAAAAGAGCCATCTATAACTACGACAAATGAGCCATCTACAACTACAACAACGAAAGAACCATCTACAACTACAACGAATGAACCATCTACAACAAGAGAACCATCTACAACTACAACAACGAAAGAACCATCTACAACTACAACAACGAAAGAACCATCTACAACAACAACAGCGAAAGAACCATCTACAACTACAGCGAAAGAACCATCTACAACAACGAAAGAATCACCTACAACTACAACGAAAGAACCATCTACAACAACAACGAAAGAACCATCTACAACTACAACAACGAAAGAACCATCTACAACTACAACGAAAGAACCATCTACAACAACAACGAAAGAACCATCTACAACTACAACAACGAAAGAACCATCTACAACTACAACGAAAGAACCATCTACAACTACAACAACGAAAGAACCATCTACAACTACAACGAAAGAACCATCTACAACAACGAATGAACCATCTACAACTACAACAACGGAAGAACCATCTACAACTACAACGAAAGAACCATCAACAACAACGAATGAACCATCTACAACTACAACAACGGAAGAACCATCTACAACTACAACGAAAGAACCATCTACAACAACAACGAAAGAACCATCTACAACTACAACAACGAAAGAACCATCTACAACTACAACGAAAGAACCATCTACAACTACAACAACGAAAGCACCATCTACAACTACAACGAAAGAACCATCTACAACAACAACGAATGAATCATCTACAACTACAACAACGGAAGAACCATCTACAACTACAACAACGAAAGAGCCATCCACAACTGAAGCCCCTTCTACATCGACAACAGAAACAACAACGACCACAACCACTTTTTCCACATCTACAACAGCAGCAGGTAATTTTCTCCGTTCCTTCGGCATCTCATTTCTACCAATATACAAAAATATTTGGGTGCGTGACCTGTTTATAAGCAAACTCTCTATCAATGTTCCCCCGCTGATAACTTTAATCTGTACGTTGCTCCATAAATGCTCTTTACGTTAAGATATGTTCTCCCTCTTATGATATGTTCTCCCTCTTGTGATATGTTCTACCTCTTGTGATATGTTCTCCCCCTTGTGATATGTTCTCCCTCTTCTAAGCAAGTACTGCATATTCATACACTAACTCTACTCGATGCAAACGACTACAGACTTTTAACGCGTACTTCGTCCATTGCTAAACAGGTTCTCTTTTAACACAGAGAGTAATTGTCTAAGCGAAAATGGCAAGGCAGCATACGGGATTAATTTACAAGAAAACCACAAGCTCGTCTATCAGACATACTTCCGAACCCTGGAGCTGAGAGAAATCACTCAGGTGTTAGCTGTAGGAGACAATTGTACGGTTAACCACGTCATATCAACCACGTGTATCGAAGACAGAAGATTTATGTGTAAGTATCAGTTATAAATGAATAAAGAAAGACATTCCCTCTCACTCTCTTTCAACACACAAACACCCACACACACACACACACAACACACACACATATGCATATATATATATATATATATATATATATATATATATATATATATATATGTGTGTGTGTGTGTGTGTGTGTGTGTGTGTGTGTGTGTGTGTGTGTGTGTGTGTGTGTGTGTGTGTATGTGTGTGTGTGCATGTATACATATATGCACACACACACACACACACACACACACACACACACACACACACACACACACACACACATATATATGATATATATATATATATATATATATATATATATATATATATATATATATATATATATATATATATATTATATATTTATTATATATGTATGTATGTAGAGAGAGAGAGAGAGAGAGAGAGAGAGAGAGAGAGAGAGAGAGAGAGAGAGAGAGAGAGAGAGAGAGAGAGAGAGAGAGAGAGAGAGAGAGAGAGAGAGAGGGAGAGAGAGAGAGAGAGAGAGAGAGAGAAAGAGAAAGAGAGAGAGAGAGAGAAAGAGATTGATAGATATAGATAGATAGACAGTTATAGATATAAACGCATATACATGTAGATATAGATAAAGATATATATAGCCCTATACAATAACGATAAGGATAAGAATCTTAATAATGATAATACTGATGAATTGATGATATTAATAATAGTAAGGCTGGCCAATTAAACTCGCGGCCACTCTAAGGTTATGCAACTGAGATTTTATATGGTGACGCTAGTGCATTCAAGTATAACAGTATAACGACTGTTGTTAAATATACAATGTGAAAATATTCTATGCAAGTTTTGCCATTTATATTTTAATAAAAAAAAAAATTAAATGCATGCGAAAGTATGTTAATGCCGTCACTTAGCTACACTGTTTACAACTTACGCTTCCATGAAATGAATTTTTAATATGAATAATGATATGCAAAAAAGCACACACATAAAAAAAAACAAAAAACAAAAAAAAATCAGTCAACACAGTGACATGTGATGTTATTGTCTGATATTATTTTTCCTCTCTTTTCCCATAATATCTATGCATTGAGCACATATATAATTTAGTCTTAATTAGGGCTACAGCTAACTGGCGGACGTGAAAGTAGCGTATTTATCAACCAATGATTTAGAAAAATTGCATGAAATATAATCATATGTCATACATCCGTTTCATGACTGAACAAGGACGGACAAGTGATTATATAATGAATATCCAAGTTAAACGATTATCAACTAGTAAATGTTAATGAAAGGAAAAAAGAGATATAGACAAACGGCACTTAATTCACATATTTATTCGCTTTTGTATTTATTTTATTATTCATTTTTATTATAATGATTTTAGTACATTTATCACTGTAAGCTGTAAATAGTATAGCCAAGGGCATTCGATTAAAAAATTAGCCATAATAATAATAACGACAATACTACTACTACTTCTACTACTACTCCTACTGATAATGATAATGATAATAATAATAATAATGATAATAATGATAATGATATGGATAATAATAATAATAAAAATAATAATGATGATAATGACAGTAAAAATAATAACAATGATAGTAATAACGTCAAGAACACAACAACAACAGTACAAATAAAATTAAGATTTTAATACAGGTGCGGAGGTTGCAGCCAGCAAGTATGTCACCGACCTCTGTCGTGCTGTCATAGATACAAATAAAATCTGGATGTGTAATATGGATGAGTATATAACTGGGATGAGTGTGGGGAACTCTGCACATATAAACGGGATTTATTGCTGTGTCGTGTCTGATTAATGCAGTATTTAATGTCATTAATTTAGTCAAGGTATTGCGGAAGACGAGGGTGGAGAGAATGCAGAGCAATAGAAGAAGCATGTCATTTGCTCAAAAAAGGTCCGAACGTGTCCTTTCGTAAAACCATGAACACCTGTTTTTATCGCTTAATCAGGCTCTTGTTTTCATTCTCTCTCCCCCCTCCCTTCCCGGTTTATCTTGAGACGTCTCTGTCAGTAAACTCCTAAGAGACTGTTTATGATTTATTAAGATTTATCAAAAGGTAGATAGATGAATAAATAAAATACATTCGAATGTGTGTACATCTTAATAGGCAACAAGTGATCCTTCGAATAAAACTACACGCATACTAAAACATTACCATTTCTTTTGTTTTCCATACAAATGATATTATCAAGAAATGTTAACCACGAAGATAATAGCAATTATAATAGTAATAATGGTATTAATATTAATGATGATGGTGATGATAATGATAATTATGATAATGACATGTATGTATTACTTTTTATTACCACTATGTGAATGATACAACTGTAACAAATAATGATATAACATGATAGGACTGTGGAAGTCAATCGAGTAACTTATGCAAATACAGCGAAATAGCTGTTTTTAGTTAAGTTATATTCAATTAAATTATAACTCACAATTCTTGCATGTAATGTGACAGTGGGTGCAAGTCATTCAAAACTCAATTACCATAATAATCATATTATTTTTTGTTCGTGTCAACAACCTGATGGGGAACGGCACGCTCTACGGTTGGTTTTATTCAAGCGGTACGAAACTTGATGAGTAAGACACTTTGACTTGATGGTAACAGTGTTTATCCGTGTGTCACTTTTTATGTTCTACATAATTTACCATATATTATTGCTCTAGAAGAAATCACCAATAAAGGTATGTAATTAGTGTGTTTATGTATATAATCTCTGTGTAAGATGAGACCCTAGCAATTACGAAATTTTGTGAGCTTCATATAAAAAAAAATCCATTTCATGTAGTACCCCCTTAAATGGTAACATACTGATAGCCTGTAGTATTATTCTAGAATGTATATTCTTGAAAGTATCTATAGATGATAATGTTAGAAATAGAGATAAGGTAACAGGCACTGAACTAACACCTATGGCATTTAAGAGTACCATAACGTTATTATTGTACAGTACAGTAAATCTAAAGTGTAGTCTGAACGTCTCTTCATTTTAATGTAGTCACCTGATACTTAATACTTGTTTTTGCATACAGTTTGTATTTTTGAAACATTTGTAATATTGTTATTGTTTTGTGCCTTCAGCAACAGTTTATTATTTTTTTTTTCTAAGGATGTTTGGCGAATCGGAGTACCACTTACCAATTACTCCTTTCCTCAGATTGGACGGAGTATACATGTTCGGGCATGTGGTTGTCAGACGGTCCAAGCAAGACCTTGTGACAAATATAGTGAGTGAGAAAGTAGTCCAGTCTGCACCAAATATCACAAGGACTACATGCGCAAAAGAATAGAAGGGCTTAGATTAATCTTTGCATCTAAATTTTGAAATGATTTTACTGAGCTTCTGATGGACTTTTGTGCATGTGTGGTATTGGTAGTAAACATATGATAACATTATTGGCGAAATTGTTTTAGATATTCTTTGCAATAGTAGTGATTTGCTCACAACTATTATAGCACAAACAGGAGTCTACACGTTTCGACTCCCAAAATTCGCTATACTTTCAAGAATCACATTCACTAAAATTTTACTTGAATTCCCATCTGTTTGCAAAATATAACTCTGTATCATTTTTTTTCAGCTTCTCTACTATAAAGAAATCCATTTGCTTTTATGAAATGAATGGAGAAAAATGTATTCCTAAACATGATATTCTTAATTTCAAATTTTGCAGTTTGAATAATATCTTCATGCTCTCATACTCCTGTCAGTTTTGTTCACAGTAGCATTATTTTTCTTCAATACATAATGTTCAGCGTACAGTAATTCACGTTGTTGACAGAAGGATATATATTACAGTTGAAGTTTTATACTCATTATACGTATGATACCTGTGATCTGAGCGTCTAGACTTGAACACTAATGAATCTAGCAACGAAGAGACTGCAAGAGAAAAAAATCCTCAAGATATCCGGACGCAGCCAAGAAAGCCAGCAGTGATACCGACGAAGAAGAAAACTTTGCACTTTGTGTGTGTCAATCCGGAAATTTAGGAAGGAAAGTGTTTACTAGTCGACTGTGATGCAACGTCGCACATTATGATGTAAAAAGAGGAAATCTTTAGGCTTGATGATGATTTTAAACCAAAGAGTCATGCAACAGAATTAGCTGATGGAAGTAGAGCCGTTGGTGTAGTGCAAGGTAAAGGAGCTGCAGGTGTTAAGCTGCATGATAATAAGGGCATATCATGTAAGAGTACCTGAAAGATGCATTGCATGTGACTTTTGGTCCTGAATAAGCTTATAGTCCCAGATGGTACAGTGTTTGAAATTGAAAAGAAAGGAAAATCATGGTGTAAAGAATATAAAAAATCTACAGTAAAAGAAATAAAAAGTATAAGCTATACTGCAAATGAATGACATAAATTCCTAGGACATTTAACCTGAAAGATGTCATGAAGGTAGAAAATATAGTAAATAGAATGTACATCCTTAATAGGAAAACTAAAGACAGTGAAATATATATGATAGGACAGATGGCTAAATATGGAAGTAGAAAACCTGATGAGTAAGCAACAATTTAAGAGCAAATACACTGATTTAGTAGGTCCTTTAAATTTAGTAGGAAAAGGTGGAAACAAATATGCAATCCTATTGGTAGATGATTCCTCAAGGGTTATTATGGTGTATTTGTTGAGAGAGACAAGTGATGCGTTGAAAGCTACTGAGAAATTTCTAGCAGAGAGTGATTCCTTTGGTGTAATGAAACGTTTTTTGTACTGACAAGGCTACAAAATTTTCGTTAAGCAACTTCTGATCTTAGTTGGGACAACTGAAAAGTCGTAAAGGACTCTCTTCGCCATGGCTAAGTGTCTGCCGATAGAGGCCGATTTTCCGAAGCAATTGTGGTCTTACGCCCTTACATACGGAACAGGTGCTTCATTACTAGGACAGATGAGGCTTCATACGAGATGATGACTGGTAGAAGACACATGTTTGTTGAAACATGCTGTGCGTACCAGCGCCATAGAAGGAAGTTGGATGCAAGAAGTGAAAAAAGAGTGTATGTGGGTTGCAATGGAGAAAGCCCTGCTAACCTAGTGTATATACCTGAAAGAAAAGAAATAATAAAGGAATGATATGTGAAATTATGCAAGACAAACACACGTGAAAGAAGGAAGAGACTTCCAAGAAGACCATGAGCTTGATGAGCTTGAACAAGATGAATCTGCCACAAGAGAAGAAGAACAAGTCGTAGAAATAACACAAACCATGAAGTGGAGAACACAGTTAGAGAACCTGATATACGGTACCTGAGCAGAACCCGTAAACCACTAAAACACCATAGCGATTATGTTGTAGGGGATGTAGAAGCTGTGGGCACAACAAGATGCTCCATACACTACTGCTACAAGATGCCTGTGGCCTGTGAAGAAGTGATATCCACAACAGATTCAAAACATTAGAAAATGGCAATGAAAAAAGAAAATGAAGAGAATGATTCATATGAACTAACTTCGGTTCCTAAGGAGGATCAGTTGCGGGTGGAAGATGTGTTCAGTAAAAACTGATCTAAGTAATTCAAGTGAGGAGAAATTCAAAGCTAGATATGTAGCTAAAGGCTATTCACAAATAAAAGGTGTAGATTTTAAGGAGACGTTTTCACCACAACCAAGCAAACCTCAGTAACATTGTAGATGCAAATTGTAGTGCAAAATAATGTTAGATTATCAGCTTAGTTTGTCAGTCTATATACCTTAATGCAAAGATTGTGATTTTTTTATTTAACAGCCAGAAGAATTTGTTAAGACTAGCAGCAAGGATGAAAAAAAATATAAGCAAACTGAAGAAATGATTGTATGGATTGAAACAAATTGGTAGAAATTGGAACAGTCTGTAACAGCAGTGTCTTACTGATGATAATTTTGCACAGTCTTTAGTTGATCCAAGTCTGTGTATCAAGTTTGACGATCATTCTTTTGTGATTGTTTTATTTTTAGCTGATATTATAACTATAGTAAGTAATGAAACTACTAAGTTCTCTTAAGGCATATCTGACTTTAGGATGTTTAAAATGAAAGATATGGGTAGTGTAAATTGGTTTCTTGGTACTGAATCTAATATTCATGAGGGGTGTGCAATAATGAATTATATATGATATTGTGAAAAATTGCTTGAGGGATTTGATATGATTAATTGTAAAGTTATAGCAACATCCTGTGACGCGTGTTATTAAGGGTTATGAGATGGACTCAGCTGAATCAACTAACACTAGAGAATACAGAGAGATTATATGAAGTTTAGTATTTCGTATGACTGGAACAAGACCTAATTTGTGTTATGCAGTGACTAAATTATCTCAGTACTTATATAAGTCAGCAAAAGCACGTTTAGGTAAAGCTAAGCATGCCCTAAAATGTATAAAAGGTGAGTAACAACAGTGTATTGATTTCAAGGAAGAGTAAGAAGCAAATATTCTACCTGTCAGACAGAATATATAGCTATGACTTATGCAAGAAGCTAATTTCCTCAGACAATTATTTTCTGATATGACGGGTTGTGAAAAGGATGCAGTAACTGCCATAACACTAAGGAACCAGTTCATCATTAACGTAAAAGCATGGAATTGTACATTGTCAGAGCAGAATATTGCTGATATGTTTACTTTCTTAGAGGAAAATGGAGATGCTTTGCAAGTTTAGCGAGTTCTGAACATAATATTCTCATTTTCAAACTTTGCATTTTGAATGATGTTTGTATGATTTGATTTCATTTGATATTATGATATTATGTATAGGTAATGTAATTTTATACAGTGCTTTATATATGTTTAGTGAAGAAA